ACGCTTTAAGATATGGCTACTTATCGACGTCACTGGTGTTCTAGCTGTCAGCTTCTATCTAGATTGCCTGAATGAGTGTGGGCACTCCAGAGTGATGTAGTGAGCTGGCGCTAAGTCCCCTCCCCATCCACCTTTATTTCATTCTCCACAAAAAGTCTGTCAAATAAATCGTGGTTGTATGGCAGCGAAGCGTCAGTGCTGGACACTGATGTTATGCTGTCGATAATGATGATTACTACGGATCTTTTGGACCTTCATTAGAAAGGGAAGTTTTTGAAGACGAATTGTGAGCTTTATTACATTTTTTATGGGTTGGAAACATTTTCCTAGGTGTTAATTTCAGGACACTCACCACAGTACATGCCCCTTTAACTAATACAACAAAAGCAGCTTGGTAGTTGGTTAAGGTTAGAAGCTCTTCCAAGACATTCGATAGGTTGCGACTGTCGGAACCGCAACCCGTGAGTTCGCTTTATCCGCCCAGTACCTTTGTACAGTGGGGGAAGCACCAGATACAGAAATGCCATTTTTCACATGCAGTAGTCATCCCCATCAAAAACATATTCCAGCAGTCTGTATTTTTTGATAGGGCTTGTTCCGGCGCTTTTACTTAAATTCACAACTACTCAAATTAAACTAGGTGGGCTTTAAAGGTTCAATACTCCCGCTTCATCAAATTCGGCCGACTGTGCATGACCACTATAAGTGGCACATTAATGAATCACATCGATATTGACCAGTTGACTTTGCTGAAATTATAGCTAGATCATCAGATAAACTTTTGGTAAAAACATATTTGTTTCTTGTGCCTAATTCGTAAAGAATACGCGAAATGATGTGAACCATTTGCCTGTCCCATTACCCGATCTAATTCGTAATGCTGTGAACCATTTGCCTGTCCCATTACCCGACAACTGATGCAACACTAAACCTGACAAAATACGTAAAATGCCTATTCTGCGTCGCGTTTCTCCAAACTACCTTGCAGCGCTTTCTGCATTCAACATTTAAAGAACTTAAAGTATTTGAAGTATCTAAAATATTATGATCTATTATACTACATTACTAAAGGTACAAAGGTTGTCTTGTAAGCTTTTAAACAGCCAAGATGGGACCAGACTGTTTAATGAATGGTTAAATTGTCTGAGTGCAGGAGATGTAAATCCCTTTTCCCATAAGTTTTTATCCGCAATTCTTGAATTTGCCGGCAGCAAGCAATCAACTGGCTACTTTGCTTTTTACCTATATTCAGAGGTCATGAGAACCTATTGTCCTCAACGGATATCTACCACAGAGATGGGGTAAGCTTTCAACGTCACCGTGAAGCCTGTGCACGTCCTCAGTTAAAACCGCTGATGATTGACAGCGTTTTGGAGGATAACCTCAGAACTCACTGCTTCCTTCTGGGACACCGTCCTAGTTATCCCATCGTCAGATGGTTCGGTTACAAAGCTGACAGTCAGGCATCATCATTCGCTGCCCAGCGTCTGTCAAGGGGGTGGCGCTTTAGTCGCCAATGGTTTTCCCTGCAACCTTATTCACACACAATGCTACCCTTTTTTCCGACAAAGTCTTTGATGATGCGATACCTTTCACTGCTTTTGAAGATTATTCCTACCTTCCTCATATCAGGCGTGGCTGGGCATTGATTAAGCGTTGCAGATGTTTGTCCGCATACTTGGAGTTTCGACACGTAAATGGAAGAGCTACCACTTCAGAGAATGAGTCCAAGAATATCGGTTCCGGTACACCTCGGCAACGCGCGCAATGGTTTCATGGGCCTAGTTTACAATCCTCAGCTAAAATCCCTGATGATCGGCAGTGTTTTGGAGGATATCTTCAGAACTCACTGATTCTTTCTGGGACAGCGACCTAGTTATCCCATCGTCAGATGGTTCGGTTACAAAGCTGACAGTCAGGCATCATCATTCGCTGCCCAGCGTCTGTCAAGGGGGTGGCGCTTTAGTCGCCAATGGTTTTCCCTGCAACCTTATTCACACACAATGCTACCCTTTTTTCCGACAAAGTCTTTGATGATGCGATACCTTTCACTGCTTTTGAAGATTATTCCTACCTTCCTCCTATCAGGCGTGGCCGGGCATTGATTAAGCGTTGCGGATGTTTGTCCGCATACTTGGAGTTTCGCGTGGTCCGCATTCGCCGGTTTGCTTCCGGATGTGACCATGGTCATCCGGTTTATACTGACTATGACAAATGTGTTCATGTCGCGGTCGATGCCTTCGTGATGCAGCTCGAGATCAAATATATTTCGAGTGGCAGAAAAGTTATCTGAGGATCCACATGACCAATCTTTTTTGACGCTGAGTAAGTTAACTCTGGTTTGGGGAGACTGGTCGAGCTCATGCGATGTTCGTGAGATGTTTCTTCATTTTCAGCGATACCAGCAACCTGCCAATATTGTTTGGAAACAGTGGTGCAAAATCTATCTGTCCTTGCCTAACACTTCCGATTGCCGGAAAAAAATGGGGACCAAAGGATATTGGACCTGGTCTCGTAACTCGATTTATCTCTACTGATTGGGAAACCACTGAAAGCAGCTGTTAGGCAGCTATCTATTCGTTAAATGGAATATTCAGGAGAGTGATATGACAGATGTGCCTACTGGAGGGGGAAGTAGTGGATCCCACTTGGTCATCTAAACCGTCAATATTGGTTTGCATTGTAGGCTTCCGGGAGCGAGTGTGGCACTAAAATCGTGCTGAATTTATATAAGACATTTCACGCGCCAGATTTTTGTTTCGCTGCCTTCCACATGCTTATTTCAAATAAAATTGCGCATGTCAGTAATAGATGTAAACCTGTTTGTCTTAATGCACCTTCTGTTATTTTTATCCTCGCTGAACCTCTGTTCGAACTGCTTCATTGTTTACATAGCTCATATAGTTATTGCTTTCATCGTTCCAGTACACATTCGGCCAGAGTCCGTTAGGTCCCACTACCAAATCAAACACAGTGTTCGCCAGGTCGTGGTATCCAAGACCATAGGAAATATAACAGGGACCAACGGGATTACAGGATCTCAAGTGTCAGGATGTATTCTAGTCTTAGACCCAACCTGCGTTTTATTGCAATTCAAACGATCTATCAATAGCTGCAGCTTTGGCGCAGCATGTGCTTTTCAATTACATGCTTTCACTCTTGCAGTCCAGAAAAAAATAATACCGATGGGCCTGTAGAAGATCACGTGAAATTTCCGAACAAAAACTACGCGTTAGGCGGCAAGACCTGCTATCCTGAAAACATGCCTTCAGATGCCACGTACAGCACCCAAAGTGCCTCAAATGCCATTCATCAATCTCACATTCAGCCATTCAAGTAAGCGGAACTGAGGGTTCGCTCCACCTAAAGACTACAAGAGAGGGCGCGGCAGGAAAAGGGGATTTTTCGTGTTTTCCCGACGGAGCACATTACAGGTGAGGTTGCCGAGAACTCCTCGACAGTCCGTGACCGATTTCCGAGTGCTGTTATCTAGTGAGCTAAATGGCAGTGAATGCTGTGTGGTTGTCATTTTCATCCTGAGCGCAGTATGAAGAGAAATATATCCGGCCTTATGTGCAAAACTGGAAAACAATGCGCTGCAAGCCACAACAATGCAATCTCACAGCCCTGACTATCCATATACCCTGCTTCTCACCAGGCAATCCCCATCTGCACCCACATGCCACCTGTAGGCGTAGATGGTGAATGATATTTTGATTACTGGATTTCCGTCGACCATTTTATGCGAGTGTAACGTTGATGCGCTGAAGACCATAGTCGTTGAGTGAAGGGTCTTCAAACAGCACCAGTGAGATTTGAAGACCACTGAAGTTGTCTAGTCAACAGTGAAGGACGCATAATATTTCCCGGAAGGAAGTTGAGTACAAAACCCAGTTGACAATTACATAGGTGGGTTTAAAAAGGTCGGAATTATACTTATATTGGGGATATAACCAAGGCGCAGTATCAACCTAGACACCTTCCACCAAACGGAGTAGCTTCTGTGATCCGGTTGTGACTTTGTCTGAAGTGAAAAGTAAAACTTCATCAATGTGGTGGAAGTAAACAGGCAATAGCTCTGGACTAGTGCTCAGGTGACCCAAGTGAATGAGTCATAACAGAATAGGCAATCAACAAGATCTGCGAAGACCTGCAAAGGAGGGTGAGAGCGAAGCAATAGATTGTTTTCCACTTCTGCACACTTTAAAGGTGGACACTTTAACAGTGTAACTGTCAACTGTGTTATTCCTTGGGGCGTTAACCCACAGCTTGAGGCACATTACCGGTGGGTCCCTATAATCAATCAGCGATGGAGAACGATTTGACAAACTGAAAGACACAGTCGAAGACAAAATTATGGTCACATTGGATGTGAGCTCTCCGCTCACATCTTTGGACTTCCAGCCTGACAAAACGACGGTTGGATAGACTTTGGGTTACGTACAAGTACCTGAAGATAGAAGAAATATCCAAACTCCTCCTTTTTCTGAATCATCTTATCAACTCCATCGGAAAATGCGCTAAACGTCAGCGAGTCATGCCAGAATAAACTCAAGTATTTAAGTGCCTAAATGCCATTTTCGATCACTTAGCTAACGAATGGCCCTTTGAACCCCATGCCGTGGATTATCTGAAACAGTGTCGGTGTAAGCATGTTGCGAACCTCTTCTATGTCCCAAACATTCTGTTCATACTACGCCTTTTCTGACTGTCATGAATCTTTCTTTTCAGGTACTTCCAAATCACCGTCTATTCCGATCATTTCTCTGAGGGAGAAGGAGGAGAAGCCACTTCTTACGAGAATGCACTTGCAGAGCCAGTTAAATTACTGTACAGCATCTCGGGAGAATAAAGGCGTTCAAGAGAGTTTACCTTCTCTGTTTTGGACACTCGGATGGAGACTAATGTTGTTTTGTGTACCATATTGTGATTGGTATCAAGGCGACCACAGGATGGCTGCTGCAACAAACCGTCTAACTGGATAATTAAGTAAAACCCCATCACTTTTCGTCTAATGTAGCAAAATCAAAGGCTACTATAAACACTAAATTCTGGGCGGTGGAGAACACATCAAACTCACGTGTGAACTCATGAACCGACTCTGGCATGTACCTCCAAGCCATTCCAATCAGGTAGACAACAGCTCCGCTAGCCAAAATTGCCACACCAATCACTGTGGAGGGAAAATGTGAATGGGGCGAATAGTCTTTATCGAAGTTATCGATGAGAGGTGCGAGATTACCTCATCATCATCATCATCATTATCAGCTGTAAAGACCAAATACAGTGGTTGCAGGTGCCACAGTTTCGTCCACCCATGATTTGGGGAGGTGGGGTGGGAAGCTGCGCATTGGAGGCGGGAGCTGATAAATTAGTGCGTGAATACAAGTCTGTCAGACAGATTGGAACATCACAGATCATAACAGATGTCACTTACATCGATCGCTATGGTCTTATTTTGTGATATTTGCGTCTGAGAGCCCTTGCTTGCTATGCAATCAACTGATGATAAAACGAATGTATCTACTTAACTTTTGAAAATTTTCTTTCTGCACTTGGTCAACTGATCAGCGTCAAACGGCAATTAGTACTACATTGACTCACTTTTCCAAACATGTGGAAAGCAAAATATCAGGCGAGACTTTTGTTCATTGTCTGCTACTTTAAGCAGCTGGAATATTTGGTGACACGTGAGAACATGTTAGCAATTAGTGTGTATGAAACCATATCATACAGATATGATTTGACTTTCCTTGTTTTCCGGCCCTCGGAGCTTTATAGAAATGTTTTGTGTAAACTTGCAATAACACAAGTGCCCTTGCTATAGAGGAGGATGTTGGTAGCTCACGTAGCACATGTGGTCGTTAGTTCGTTCGCTGAGCTGGTGGCTGTGTGCACTACCGCCAATCTATCGCTACGCACCACCACGCTCCCTAACAACGCATTGATGATGTCACCTCGATTGGTGATGAAACGTCTCCAATCACATTGCAATCAAATCAGCGAACAAAACAACGACAAGTGCTCTTCTCAAAATCTGCCGTCTTCAGAACTGAATAAATTTATCGTAGAGTTGCTAACTGCAAAACACTTTGCAGATATGTATGCGTCCGTTTGGTCACACCACACCATTGGAAGAATACCACTGAGAAAATCTGACAAGCAAACCTTCACGCTCCCAAGAAAGCACCATACACCGAATACACTACTCATAAGGTTGCTGAAAACTCCTCTCTGGTTGTTGACTATTGAAGAGTTTTCAGCAACCTTGAGTAGTATTTAGGCGTATTACTTCTACACATGTATCACAATATTTTGAATATCGTAACAACTGGAAAGTGAGACGGCCTGGTTCATGAATCGAGTTATTCCTGTTCTCGTTTATTTATTTGTTTGACTACACATTCACCTACTGACTAGTCCGCTCTACTGCACTGAATTACTAACTTATTTATTCATTTAATTCCTTGTTTCCTGTTTCTTCACTCATTTGTCACACTGTTGTTTAGTTATCCACTACTTACTTCCTATCTATTTGTTTATCCACCAACCTATTTACCTATGTGTGACAGTTATCTTTAGTCCAGTTACCAATTTTAATTGATTTATTTACTTATTTATCTGTCTATTCACTAAGTTGTGCTTTGGTTCCTCATGTTCAGCCAGGCCTAATGATAGTTAACCGGTTAGCAACAATCCAGCTTAATCATACGCAAAACAGCTGGTTAAAGTAACCTTTTATTTTTTGCTTCAAAGATCAAATGGACTACAATACCCTCTCAAAAAGAAACACCTCTCGTGGGCGCAAAAGAACTTTTGCAACCAGACTGTTTCTTCTTCACCTGAAAGGGCTCTACTGCATGCCTTCAACATGGATTAGACGAAAACTCTATCATCATTGGATTGTTTAGAATACTTTTTGTGTGTACATATTCCAGTGCACCTGGAGGGAGCGTTAATTATTATTTTTTTAAATGCGCCTCTGTAGCTGATGCACACAAATGCAATATGATGAACGAATGTAAGCAACCTTAGGTTTTTGTCATCGAAGTCATTATGAAGTCATTATGTCATTGGGCCGCTTGACTGGGCTACAAAGCTAGATCGCTCAATAACAACGAAACGACAAGAAACCTTCTATTCGATTCTTCCAAATTCACTATCTCCTGTGCATGCTCAAACTGTATCGTAATCCGGCGATGGTGATGAACGGACACCCTAAGCTAATTTAGGTCAGACTTGCCCGAAAATTATTCACGATTATCGTGAGATTGTGTGACAGTATTCTTTATGAAACCAACCGTTCAGAGTGGTGGTCGACCGGTAAGTTTAAGCCAAGCGCATTGAAAGTTTTGATTGTTTCCTTATTTCGGGAGGCAAACTAGCCATTTCGAGGGCCATACAACTGCGGACAACCCGGTCCCTCGATGGAAGTTGCAAAGGAAAAGAACTCTATGCTCTTCCTGGGATGTGTCCCCTTAGTTGGTTTTCTACTCGGCGAATAATTTAAGCACTACTGTAACAAACTTATCTAAGAAGAAAGTGTTGTTTTCTGCGATACATCGAACGTATTAGCTCACAATGTCGACAGAGTTGATAATTGAGGTCCAACGGGTTCTGTTGAGACAATAAAAAATAGACCGACAGATTCGAAAGGTTTTGAAGAAAGACCGTCAACAGAATGTTCTAAGCGACTCATCGCCCCAGCGCGAATTCGGCGTCGACAGTAGTAGTTCTCGAACAACCATATGATAGGTTTTTCTGTTGTCACAGTCCATGGTGCACATTTGTATTGTCCTCATGTTCACTTTCAGCTATTTAGGATCAACCATTTGGTTTAGCCAACAATTGAATTTACATGGACTGCCCAAACAGACTATATTTAGTTCGTCGAGCACGACTCGACTCGATCCAACACTAGAGTCGATAGTACACTGACCAGAGTACCCACTTTGACCTTTTTCCATATCGTCATATGCGCCGATGCACAAAACAGGCGCCAAGAGCAGTGAGGTTCGTACAAAAAGGCAGAAGCCGTGGGAGAGAACCAAATGAATAAGGTGTTAGCTCGGTCCTCGGGGGTGAGGTTTTTCCCGGGTGTATATTGCTAGCAGGCGAAGGTGTAGCAGAGGCAGACCTTCCTTCGTAGCTCCTCTAGTAGGTGTTAGACCGATGGTCCCCACCCAACCTCATTCATGTGCTTTCATGCATGCTGCGTGTAGTTGGACTTCCAGTTTCAGGTCTCTCAGTCTTAGAGCTATTTGGTGAACCATCCCCAATGAATAAAATAAAGAACAACCATTTCTGGCTCATTGGCATTTCAAATAAGTACTTTAAGTTAATCGGGCTATGAACAATGAAAACACAAGACAGACGAAATATGACTAGTTTCATGGACTGTTATGCCTGTTTCGATGGCAATTCCGAACTCAGAGCACCCCTTGCCATATATCTACCAGCAGCAGGAAATACCTAGTTGGTTGGCATCGCAAATACCCACTGTCCAATGGATTATGAACGACAATAAAAGTTCGAAGGAAAGCACTATGTTTGCGCCTGAATAAGTGAGGTTGTTTGGGGGCGTGTATAGTAGTCGTAAAACACNAGGTTTTTCTGTTGTCACAGTCCATGGTGCACATTTGTATTGTCCTCATGTTCACTTTCAGCTATTTAGGATCAACCATTTGGTTTAGCCAACAATTGAATTTACATGGACTGCCCAAACAGACTATATTTAGTTCGTCGAGCACGACTCGATCAACATCAACACTAAAGTCGACAGTACACTGACCAGAGTACCCACTTTGGCCTTTTTCCATATCGTCATATGCGCCGATACACAAAACAGGCGCCAAGAACAGTGAAGTTCATACAAAAAGACGTACAAAAAGGCAGAAGCCGTGGGAGAGAACCAAATGAATAAGGTGTTAGCTCGGTCCTCGGGGGTGAGGTTTTTCCCGGGTGTATATTGCTAGCAGGCGAAGGTGTAGCAGAGGCAGACCTTCCTTCGTAGCTCCTCTAGTAGGTGTTAGACCGATGGTCCCCACCCAACCTCATTCATGTGCTTTCATGCATGCTGCGTGTAGTTGGACTTCCAGTTTCAGGTCTCTCAGTCTTAGAGCTATTTGGTGAACCATCCCCAATGAATAAAATAAAGAACAACCATTTCTGGCTCATTGACATTTCAAATAAGTACTTTTAGTTAATCGGGCTGTGAACAGTGAAACCATAAGATAGACGAAAAATGGCTAGTTTCATGGACTGTTATGCCTGTTTCGATGGCAATTCCGAACTCAGAGCACCCCTTGCCATATAGCTACCAGCAGCAGGAAATACCTAGTTGCTTGACATCGCAAATACCCACTGACCAATGGATTATGAACGACAGTAAAAGTACGAACGAAAGCACCATGTTTGCGCCTGAATAAATGAGGTTGTTTGGGGGCGTGTATAGTAGTCGTAAAACACAAAGGGCTTATTACAAAAAAATTCTACGCATTTTTTTTTCAAAAGTTCCTTGGAACTACTTGAAAAGGTTGGGTCAGTTCCCCAGAGGATATTAACCCTTATGGAAGACCACATCTAGATGGTTCGTTTTGGTAGCTATTACAAACGAAAAAACCTGAAATCGTTGGTACAAACAAGCGATATTAACCATGATGAGTTTTCGGTAACAAAGCGTCATTCAAAACCATGAAGAAAAGCCAGGCACTTACACGCTTCTGTTGGAGCACCGACGAATGCAAATATGACAAGCAACAAGGTTGCTCCGACATAAATGAATGGAAACACGATGGGGACCTAAAATGGAAAAGACTATAATCAGACAGCTAGATAATTTATCTCCGCTCAGTTTGAAGAATCATGTAACAGATCGAGGAAACTTGACTGTTACAAGCGAATGCTTCAGTCAAAACAATACACATGATAACAAACAGTGTTGTTGTATTATTCGTAATACTAAAAGCTCTGAATAGGTTGTTACTAGCCCAAGTGGCATAGGTAGTCGTTGATGCGTTCGATCCCCTGGGCAGTTCGGTCGCGAACACTTCACCAATCGCGGTGAAACCATCAGTACGTTGATGAGCAAAGGGACGCAGCGGCTGATCGGTGGTGGTGGGACTTGGGAGTGTTAGCTATATGGCTACACGTGTTGCTAGCTGATTGTGATTGGTCATTTGACCGAGCCTTGTAGACAAGACAGAGGGAGAGAAGTTTTGGAAGAATGGTGATACAAAACGTCGTGCTTTGATTTGGTGCACGAACCATCGCGAGCAAAAGCAGCGACTGAAATGGAACATTCGAATGGAGCTCACTGTCGGAGTAACGGACCAAAAGACAGAAAGCATCCTGAAAGCAGAACGGTAAAAGTCACATGGTGGAGACCAGAGGGGTCAAGATCAGAGTTAACTCGAGGATCGACAAATGAAACAGAAAAGAAGCTTGGACCAAAGGTGGACATCAACCGATCCGAAGACAGCCCCAATAAACAACCAATCACAATCACAGTACTCCAAGCCATCAACACACGCATTGACACGCACGCACATACCGCCACTTGACAGGCAGATGTCAACTCACTGATGGTGCCACCATTACTTGGGCCGAAAACAACCACCGCGCTTTAGTCTGTCGAACCTCTCTAGTAGGATGAGATGACCACCAGATATCTGCGAGATCTCTAGTCCTGATTAATGCTAGGACGTCCATACCAGCAGCCAACCAGTGCGATGGCGCACGCAAATTGCTCAAGCGCCAGATAGTAAAGTCCTAGGAAAGACTGGGTGCTCTGGCGGACATCGAGAGCTCAGCGAACAGAAGTGTTTGCCACCGAAAACTGCGTACTTTACCACTAAATAGGGTGGACTGTTTAAAGGGATGCATCTGTCAGTGAAACGATAAGCAGAAAAGATGGCTCGTTAATTCATTTGCAATCCCTGGAGGGCGAATGAAATTTACACCTTAATTGCTCGTCAGAGGAAGAAGTAAGGTATAAAACATCCCTCACAAAATGTGCAAATGCACCAGCACTCCGTTATTTGTATGCAGTCCCTTCAACGAAAATGGAGACCATCTGGTGTCCCACTTGGAGAAGCTATGTGATGTAATGGTGGGTGAAGAGATAATGCCCACAGAAAGAAGTAGATCAAGAATCGTCCCTGTCCTTAAAAAGGATATGCAGACACCATGTACAACATCGTGGCATTCGACTCGTAGTTGTTGCATCGAAAGTGTTCTCTTATTTCACCCTTCGTAGGCTGACTGGAAACACAGAGGCAGATTAGTGAAAACCAAGTTAGGATGCATCAGTCACATATCCACTTCCCGATAGATTCTGGAACAGCGAAAACGCTTACAGCAACGGATGCATCTGTCAGTGAAACGATAAGCAGAAAAGATGGCTCGTTAATTCATTTGCAATCCCTGGAGGGCGAATGAAATTTACACCTTAATTGCTCGTCAGAGGAAGAAGTAAGGTATAAAACATCCCTCACAAAATGTGCAAATGCACCAGCACTCCGTTATTTGTATGCAGTCCCTTCAACGAAAATGGAGACCATCTGGTGTCCCACTTGGAGAAGCTATGTGATGTAATGGTGGGTGAAGAGATAATGCCCACAGAAAGAAGTAGATCAAGAATCGTCCCTGTCCTTAAAAAGGATATGCAGACACCATGTACAACATCGTGGCATTCGACTCGTAGTTGTTGCATCGAAAGTGTTCTCTTGTTTCACCCTTCGTAGGTTGACTGGAAACACAGAGGGTAACTCTCTTTGCCTACTTCTTTTTAATGATGTTATCCACATGGCCATTAAGATCTCACCATCAGCCTCTAACGCCTGTGGACGTTCCCACTGTTCCCAGAGTGTTCGTTTGCATACACCGAGTGCGCTTTTCTTGGGTCCAATACTATCGTAATCCATGTAGCAGTAAATAATGTGAACATTCTCACCTCGATTTGGTATGATCTTCATATATGCAAGGTGTAGAGTGCTGCTGCAAGACTAGGTAAGATCATATTCGGACCTCTTAATTGCGGACGCACCTACTGAGGTGGTAGACAAATTTGTCTATCTGAGTAGCTCTACCAGTCCCGGTGGTCCAGCTGAAGACCATATTTATATCCGGATTGAGAAAGTCAGAGCAGATTTTGTCAACCTGCATCATCTGTGGCATGAGCATGACACTCAAGGGTTTAGTTTACAGCGTTGCAACTTGTTTCATATTGTCATGTGGGTGAGAACCCCGATCACTGTAAACTAAGGCTTACTGGTGTCTTCGGAGCACTGCCCGAGTCTGTTGGCAACATCGGATTAGCAATGCGAGTGCATGTCGAAGATTTTCGTCCATGATATAGAAGTTGACCATACTAGGCAGGTTGCACTGGATTGGTCATGCGCTTTGTACATCAGTCCATCGAATTCCTCGAAGAGACTTCTTAGTACAGTCATGCGGATGAGGAGTCGAACGAGCCAGACAAGTCAAGTTGACAGAAGAGTATGAAAACATTATCAACAAACGCAGCTGAGCTGGTAAGTACCGTCTCTCTTGATGGATAACTTGAAATGGAAAACATTACTCGTCAGAAATTTTTCAGATATAGCCCAGCCAGATGTACAATGGTGCGCTGTAGCCCTCGCTGTACAACATTCGCTCCAGATCTGTTCAATAAAATGCCGACTGTCACTCCTTGATTCACACGTCAGTCGTGTCACTTACTACCCTCACTGTGAAGCTACCCACTGTCACCTCTCCAAATCATCGTCGAATGAAACTGTAGCACCTATAACCACTGCACAACATGTACGTGGTTCCTAGCTGAAAATAATGTTGATGATTTATGCATATCTCATACACTGGTGCTACCTCACTGCATGATGGCTTGTCGTCTGTAGTATACTGCTGGAAACTTTCAGTAGTGGTTTTAAAGGTCTTTTAGTTATCCTAGGGTGGTGTACACCTAACGTGTGCATCCTGTGACAACTTGTTGTACGATTGGGGATTCAACGGTATCTTCAATCAGTTGGAAAAAGTTTGCAGCCGAGTGAGGAATCCTCGTTTTGGAAGGGCATGGTAAACAATCGGGTGTTTTGTTTTTCAACCAAACTCTTCTGAATTAACGATGCCTTCATAAATGTCCCACGATGGCCTAACGAAGTCCTCGTCGATATCCGATATGATAAAATCAATTTATCCAGTAGCATGCGTTGATAAAAATACCACAAGAAAACAACCAGACACCCACAAAACTTCACTGAAACAGTGTTCCAATGGATTACCTCAGCGTTTCGTCGACGTTTCTCACTACACTAAAGTTTATAGACCACCGCTGATCAACAAAGCGCGGAAATTCTCATTTTAACCGGGAACCCAAGTGAAATTCAATTAAATGCTGATAAGGATACGACGTTCACGTCAAATGACTTACCTTCACAGGCCGTTCCATTGTGGGTCTTGTGAATCGGAAGATGATGACTATTAGAACCGAGATACCGATAGCCAACCAGAGAACAAATCCCATGTAGGTGATAAGCGAACCGACCTCACCGATTACCACGTAGACGATTGTAAAGATGCACTGAAAATAGCAAACGAACCTTGGTAACTAACTGTGTTCGTCAGTGACCCACTTAAGCTGAATGAAGCAAGCAGGTGTCTCTGAACTAGCTAACTAATACACGCCCGTTGAGGGATAGTTTCAATAACACCTTCTTTCATTCAGGTTGGTACGTATTCGAACAGGTCGGAATAGGACACAACAGTTTTGCCCATTCTGACGTGCTAGTCAGACGCGTACGGCTTGCGATGGCAGATAAATAATGATACATTTGCATCGAGTGATCGAAGCTCAACACACACTCGGTTGACAAGCCTAATAATAGAAACACAACTCAAGTGATAAAATTTTCCCTTTTAGGAACCACACCTGGAAAGGGGGACAACTGTGCAAGCGAGAGTGATGGATGTCTAGCCATTTTAAGACGCCTAGTTCTATCAGTATTATCCACATAGCTGAATAGTAATCAGTCGTAATTCACTATATAAAGAACATCAGCTAGACGGTACTTGGTATTCCACTCGTTTTCTCAAAAAGAGTCAATTTCTAGGGTACCTTTGGTGGCAGGTACACACTGGACTTGAGCTCGCGAACGAGAAAGGTTGCTTGATTTAAAACTTTTTGAAGTTAGTGGACAGCTTCTTGTAGGCATCCCGGAAGTTCCTTATCTGACCATGCAAGATGTCTGCTTAACAGAAGGGCTCACCGTAAATACCACCGCTGGGATTGGTGTCAGGCTGGACATGTGAAGGCAGGATAACAATTTGGGCATCTGACTCTGTTGGCCGGCCACGAAGAACATGCGAGAAGTTGTCATGATCGTCCCGTTTACGCCACCAAATGTTGAGAACGCCACAAATATTGGCATAATCCACGCGGCCGGTCCGTAAATTCGATTAGCAAAGGACTGTGAAACGATAGATATGCTATATGCAATAATAGGTTGAAAAGACGCAAATACGCTTCAGCGAATTCATAGTCGCGGAGAGGTTGAAAGGCGCGTTTTTTAAGTAACTTTTATTAGAAATCCACTGTCCTAGGAGCCGATGTGAGGAGGGATCTTAAATCACTCGATGATTTTTAAAAAATCCAAAGCTGTCTAACGGATATTCAGAAGGACAAATATAAGCTATTTTCCTACAAACGTCTCGAGTAGTGACTATCAAGTTGGAGGTCGTATAATTCTATCAAACTAGTTTGTATGCGATGACTTCTCACAGGGTTTCACTATGGAGATAGCGATTGGGTGTTGCATTTCATACAATCTGTCACGCATTACTGTGGTTTTTCAAGGGCGATGCATAGTCCCTTGCGAAACGTCATTTACTGGTGAAACTTTACAAAAACAAGTCCACCAGCGTAGCACACGCTTCCATCTATCCGTATAAACACTGCTACCAGAGTAGTTGGATGTCCAACCTGAAAAATGTATCAACCACAAAAGTAACTTAGAGCAACTCTAAGAGGGGATCATTCAGAGTTGATCCGTTAAAGTTGTTTTCTAAACTTAGATCTCTTCAAGAATATGGCACTTGCGGTCGACCAATTAAGGTGCTCTTTTCAGAGAGCGGAAAGGGAAATACACATTGGAAGACGGTTGCTTATCATTCTGAACTCAACCAGTACATCGAGTGGTACAGAAGTTTTCTCAAACAATGCACTGTTTCGGTGGGAGTCATCGCAGCATCCAACAGTATGGGAATATGTCGACGGGTCCATATCTCCGCCATTTGTTTAGTTCTGATCACACTAACTTTCAAATCACTTATTAGTTGTAGACCAAGGATAAATAGAGGAGATCCAACGGACATGGAACACACGAAACTAGGAGTCTATCTGGACACAACTCACCACAGCAACGGCATCTGATGTTAGTATTTCTGGTATCCTTAGCACCGTTGCATAGGCCACGTTGGCCATGGTGTAGATGGCCGTGATAAGTAGGCAAGAGAAAACAATGGCGATGGGGAGGTCACGTCTTGGATTCTTCATCTCTTCAATCATGCAGTTCAAATAGTTCCACCCGTGGTACGCAAACAGACCGTTGTAGAAGGCCACAGCCAAATTCCCAGGGTTCCAGTTGGAACCTTCGAACGGGTCTTGGAATTCCTGGATTCTACCTGGTAAGTAAATAATAAAGCAAGAGATATAGGAACGGTCCACAACAGACTGGATGCTACCTGGTATTACCCAAAATGAACAGATATCAACCCGGGGAGATATCCCATCAGTTGCTCACCGTGTATGCATAGTTCAAGTGAGTTATTCGAGCCTGGTGTTATATTATCGATTCAATATTTAGCATTTGTGACTATTCTTCACAAAATGAGTCAGCGAAATTGGACGATGAGGTTTTCTCTTCCCAAATGGACAGTGCTCACTGAATGAAAGAAAAATGCGTCGACGAAAGGCAAGAGACCAAGTTTTTTGTGAAAGGATAGTCAGCGATCAGTGTGTGTTACCGATATCTTCAAGACCGTTCGCAGTTACGGAGTGACATAACCGGCTTTGAACGTTCAGAAAAAAAATCATTCAAAAAAGGGTTCCTTGTGCACAGTTTCCCAAACAAGCCGATTCAAGTTTCACCGCCCATGAGAGGTTATTTCAATTTATCGGCTGTCCAAGAGTTTCCAACAGCTTTACTGGCAATGTGCTTTGTTTAACTATCTTGATATCTGCGATATCTCAAATAGTGTATGAAACGAAAAGTGAGGCAGGTTTGTGCAGCACATTCAGCTGAAGAAAACCATCTTAAATAGATGAAGAAATTGTTCAGCTGTAGCACCTTTTCGGTGCCTAACTGTCATGCCTCCCAAAGGAAGCATAAGGGCCGGGATTCTGCCAGGTTGCCCCAGCCTAGACAGGGGGAGTCGATATACAGATGTCGGGTTCGAACCATAGACCTTCCAGTGAGTTTAGCACTCTAACCATTTGAGCAATCTTGTCTCCAAGGAGTAGACCAGCATAAACGGGAGACTCACCTAGATTCAGTTGAGTCCCCCCGAAAGCCAACTCAGTGTGCAAATGAGAGTAATTGGCGGAAATGAGAAGTTTCTTTAAAATTGGGGAAATATTGTAAATATTCTCGATCTAAATCACATCGGTTGCAAGGCTAATGCCATGTCATTTGAAAAGCCTTTACTTCCTTCGCTGCTTCAACAATCGTTCTCAAATATTTTAGTACATTTTACTGTAATTTTTCATTACTTCTGATGTGTTCACAGTGAATTGTTCGCCTGTCCCTCGACTTTCGATCAGTGTACCTTTGATGGTACTCCACAGCATGACCCACTTCAAGCCGTTGTCTAGGGCGGTTCTGTTTTGCTGCCTTGAAGTATTCAATGGCAGATGAATTCAGTTGTTACTGTGATGCACAGGTCGGAGATGATGACCATCATCTCTCCAACTCGAGTCGAAAGCGGAATGAGCAACGCAATAAAGTTCAGCTCCATTCAGATAGAGGGGATTTTTACACAAAGTGTACTTCCTTCACAATGGGAAACACCAGCATCTTCGATGGAGTGGCCTCCTACTCAGCCTTCTGTGTGCGTGTTTGCGTAATCAAGCACGACCCCGAGATAGTGTGGCCAAAAATGGCTGAAGTAACATTTACTTACAAAATAAAGCGAAATTTACCCTCAGTGGCATCCAGCAACAGACAGGTGTGGACCAGTGCTTGAGTAGCAACTTAGTAACCAAATTTTCTAAGTACGAATTGAAGGAATTATAAAGTTCTGACGACAAATAAGCAAGGGCACGCTTAAATACTGAGAACGTCCTTAGTTAAAATGGACAGTAGTACAATCTGCCCCGGTCCAAACTTCCAACCCACATTCATTGCCTGATGAGCCGAACTACTCGTAACCAACGTTTCCTCACACGGTGACGTTAAGTTCTTTTCAACCCCACCAGCTACTTATCCAGAATCAAAAGCAGGGCAAGCAGTGTTATGCTCCTGAAATTACCATGAGCGTGTCAGTGACTAGATTTGCTACGGGTTTTCCTGTAAATTAAAAAACCCTATTTCGGGAAAATGACACTGCGCGGAAACGTTTCAGAAAAGCACACAATTATTCAACGAGGCTCAGTCGTTAGAAAGAATAGTGTTTCTTAGAAATCGTTATTCACTAAACCCTAGCAGTAGTGGTCAAAGAGTGATCATTTTCTAAGGTATCATCTACCGATGAACAGGTCTTTACAAACCTGAAAAACAGGCTTCACATGACGTCCGATTATACAACCCTACGTATCACTCATCATTTTGGATGGAGTTGCCACGATGCAAGCTAACTTATAAGATCGATAGATGGCGGGATCGTACAAATAGTCATCGAATCCACGGAATGTTCCCGAAATACGTAAAATGTTGTCCTTCATCACGACTCCACAGCAGCGATACGTCCCAACCGTTTCCGAAGCAACACTGATGGAGATATGGCAAACAGGATTATGTAAGTCATTATTAGATTCACTTGCTTAGCATGGATGTGATCCAACCTATATATATCCCTGAAACATATGGTGTTGTTAATTTCATTCACTTGCTTAGCATGGATGTGATCCAACCTATATATATCCCTGAAACGATAGCGTGATGCTAATTTCTATGCCCAATAGCACAGCACAATTCACCTACCATTTCTCCATTTTATTTCTGAAAAGATGGACATAAAAGACGTGAACAGTAAGCAATTGGAACCTCCGATAAAACTGACCAAGTGGGGGCGATCGACATAGTTGCAGCTCGGATGAGCTCGGGAATTCAAGAGTGCACAATGTTGATGAGCCTTTCAAGGGCTAAAATGTCTCTGACTTGCTTCTCAGCCTTTCAGCATAGCTTGACTCCACTCGCAAGATAAAGTCTAGATTAGAAGCATTAGAATATTCTGATAAAATTTCCGTTGCAGAACACTACGCCTTTATGTTAGCTTAAATGCCGACCAAAAAACATGAGCTGACACTGAATGAGATCGTTTGAAAGATAGTGGGAAACAGGGTAAAAACACGACCACTACGCGTCTCAAGTCAGAATTTTGCACCCCGATCCTACCTTCCCATGTTTTTGTTCAGTGTATTTAATGTGATGGCTATGGAGAGAATATTGTTTGCTCTATCCATTCACAGTGAAAGTTCTGGGTCGTTTTCGATTCATGCCATAGTTATAGTTACGGTCATTCGTTTTTGACCTTTCACAGCTCCTATCTTCAAACACTTCCCCTACATCCAGACTCACTGTGTCTTGTAACTAAAATCACACTGATCAATTGGATGATAGACATTTATTCATGGTAGTGAAAACAAAACTGATCGTGCATCATAAAGTGTACGTACTGAACTGACGGCGAATTTGTTAATAAACGGAGTCCTAAGAAGTTATGGGCAAATTCTAAGCATGCTGTTGAGTTACAAGAAGCACCTTGGCCCATGTAGCAATCTTGGTTATTGACCTACCCCAGGGGTTGTAACTTATCAGTAGGTCACACTTGAAAGTTATGGAGTCACCTTAAACATAAGTATCAGGAGAACGGGTAGCCAGGAGCTGATAGATGCTACTGAAAACCAAACCAAGAAGTTACAGGGTGTGCATAGAAGGCTTTGAAGTGGAAGTGACTGAGTTATAGAGGCACCCAAGGTTGTCGTCCCATTGAACGAGTTTTTGTTGAGTTATTCCTGTTATTTCATTTGGAAGCCCTTAAAATCGCTTCACTGTACTTTTACTGGCAACTCAGATTGGGTTTTGCTCAGTTATTCCCCTTTTTCGACTTCACGGTAGTTGATAAAACAACATGATCTCTCTTGAGTCATATCATTCTGTGTTCAGCCTACAAAGCTAAACAAGAAAATGGTTAGGGCACCTAACGCAACGGAAGCACCAAGCGCAAAAAATGTTCCTATCATTCGTTTAGCAAAAAGGTTTCTTCGGTACAGCAAAAACTTACCCCGTCCAATTTGGACAAGACCAGTCACGATGATCAAGAGCAACGCAGCGACCTTGGCGAAAGTGAATACATCTTGTGTTCGCGCAGACCAGCGAACAGACAAGGAATTGATGAAACCAACAAGTACTGCGAACAGAAACAGAACAAACTGTAATAGATTTGGACATGAAAACAATTTGTCTTGCTTTAGAATCAGTAGGTACTGTTTTACGGAATAGTCGAAGCAATTGTAGTGGATGACACTGCCGCGTGTCAATACTGAAGTCCTGCGTGCAACAATAGTGTACTAGTGCGATATGATCGCCTACATACATAAGAAACCGGATCTTTGGCTCCACGAATGTCCCTACCTTAAGGAAGCGTTGATACGATGACGGAATGTTTAGCTTAATTAGCTGAAAAGACGCAATTTTTTGCAGTAACCGTCAAACCGACCAATGTGAATGCTCCGAACTTGTCTGAGTGTGTGCCAGATAATTCTCCCGGATCGTGTCGGAAAACCCTGCAGAAAACGAAACGTAACTAGACTCGGTGGAGAATATACTAGTAGTATCTCCCACCCACTGTTTGTGTGGAGTTAGTGAGTAGTGCGTCCATTGAGCGAGGTTCGTAATAGGTTTATTGCATTCAACACGATCGCTAAACGTGTGTACTTGTTTGCATTAGTCTCATGTATCTTGGACATGGCCAAATATCCTCCAGAGCGAGTCTATTGGAATTTGGCTTTCCAAAGCCTTGGAAGAGAATGCGAGGTTGGCAACGATGTTTGAAGGATAGCTGAATCTATGGTTAACCGATCTCAGGTTCGAAACAAAAGCATTGACAACTTGTCGGTTTTCGCCGCTGAAAGATCACACCTCAGATTTCCGCTTTTTTCCCAGTCATTCCCATAAATAAGTTAAGTCTTGCTGGTTTTTGCATCACCTGGGCTACCTTTCGGCAAGTCAGCGAGAGAATTTCCGATACACTTCTGAGACTGATGAGGCAAGCTTTATTAATCGCTCGGTGTGAGAGGAGCACGAGTTTATCGTTGTGTTGTGTTCCTTACCCCACCCCCTTTGGAACTCACGATATTTGTCCCCGCAGTGGTTCCCTTGACAAGGGAGTCCCTCTAGTAAAAATCTTAGCTTTAGGAGTTAACTTCCTCCGGTCCCAAATTCACCACTGAATCCTCTTCAAAGAGAACATCAACTGTGAGAGAATGCTGGACTGGAGGTCAGATTATGCAAGCAATGGAATACTTTCGTCCCGTAGTTGTTAAGGCATAAACCCGGGAACTGCGCCTACCTGATGAGCCCCAAAAAGGGTGAAACCGGTCGTGGGCTGTTGCGGATTTTCACCAACCTTATGAGTAGTACATTACAAAGATATGCATGTATCGCGATATTTCAAATATCGTAGCGACTGAAACATGAGGCAGCTTGGTGCAGCACATTCAGTTGCATGAGAACACCACAAACGAGAGATTCAGCTAGGTTCCAGGTGTGTCTCTCGAAAAACCAAATTAGTTTGCAAATGAGCGTATATTCGTTAATTTGGTGCAATTTGATTTCAAGTAGAACATAAGGTTGACGGAAACCCGGAGACTGCGCCTACCTGATGAACCCTAAAAAGGGCGAAACCTGTCGTGGGCTGTCCACGGATTTTCAGCAACCTTATGAGTAGTGCATTACAAAGGCATAGACAACTTCATCCAAATAGATGCAACATACTATACATTAGGTTGCTTAGAACTTTAGGACAACCCACCAAGGGTTGAAGGAGAACATCACAAACGAGATTTAGTTGGGATTCGGTTGGATTTTCTGTTAAAAACAAACTGGTGTGTTTTGCAAAGTGGGCAAGGAGAACTTGAAGTTGACGGGTAATACGGAATTACACTTATCTCATGTGCCCGAAGAAAGGCGAAACCGGTCGTGGGCTGCTGTGGTTATCGGAAGCGTTATAAATAATCTGTTCCCTCAAGAAAATGTACTACAATATCGTACCAAAGGAAAATGAAGCTGCCTTATGCGGCATATTCAGCCGATAGACGCCATAAACGAGAGATTCAGTTGGCATTCATCTGGGTTTCCATTTACAAATTAACCTAGTGTGTAGATGAGTATATTTCTCAAATAACTTTGTTCAGCTGAGGTGCATGACAAAAACTCCGAGGCTTTTGACATGTTCCACTCAGCCGAAGACGAAAAACGAAGACATTCGTGTGACAAAGCCATATAGCCTTACACCGACCTATAACCGATCAACAGGGAGGTCTATGTAAAACTGGGCTGAGTGGTTGTTAGTATTTATCAGTTCTTTGAAAAGCCCACTGGAATCACACGACTCACGTCATTGCATCAGGAGGTCAGTGCAGAGGGTACCTTTGTAACATCATCCAGTCGCGATTCAAGAAGCTCTGCTCACATAAACAAGGTGTGTTAGTCGAGTAACTGTTGTTATTCTTTGATTATCAATTAAATGACGTCATGTACGTAATTTAGCAACACCAAAAAGGAAATCCCCTCAATTTTGTACTCTGTGTGTTTGCAAAACCGTACCATCATGCCTAAAAGACAGTGGGTATGGGTCAGTACAAATCAGAAACCAATTCAACTGCAACGTTGCTGCTGGAGCTGCGATCAACTCAGTTCGGTGCGCAAAAATATTCACGCCCGATTCGTTTTGGCAAAATGCGTTCTTGTGAAACAACCAAAAGATGATAAATGAATTTCATTGATGACCAACTGGTAAAGGCAACAATCCTGGATGTAATTTTCAGTGTTTATTCATGTTTGGAAGAAAAACAAAATCAGTTTGAAAAGAATGCTAGACAGGACTGAACAGTTTTGGTCCGCCATCGTTATGCAAGTGGAAATAGTTCAGTTTAGCTAGAGAAGTAAGGTTAAGCTCAAACAGGTGCAATATTTGTTTTATGGCAGAGTGAAGAGGATGTTCCCTGTGTGCGTTTGCGGTACTCAGTTGGTCCAATCATTAGGGCAACTATAGGGAACGCACGCAAAAGTGCTGTTTTTCGGAAAAGGTCAACACCGGTACTACAACATTGAGGACCTACTGCAAGGCCGCAATTGGGTCTGTCATGTGGCTGCCATCGCGGGCATAGGAAGACGTCTCAAGAGCACATTTTGTAGACAAGAATAAGTTCACCTAGTGCTACTTAGTTGAGATTTTGTACTTTTAAGTAATGTCGTTCTTGGCTGAAAAAGCCGAAATTCGCTGTCCAGCTATTCCATTATTATTGGAGATCACGAAACTCCAGTTGGAATGACCAAACTCACAACCTCCAGGGTGGTAATTGAGCACAACCGTTCGGTCACGAGTGGCTGATCAGCAGTGTGATTAGTTATCACTTATACAGGATATAGCGTCACTTATCCTTCAATAGAGGGACGCACATCAAGTGGTCCTTGTTGACTGGCTCCTCAAGTGACGACTTCTCACCTTCGCTCATCTTGTGAAACTATTCCTCCACCAAATAAACAACTGGTTCTGTTTCGCTGGTGGTTTATGCGGTAGTGGGTACCGTTTAGAAGTTCTGATGACTCGACTGAAAAAGGGTAATTGCTCTGGATTTGGTGCTATGAAGATATGGATAACAAGTAACCTTCGGCTTTTTATCCAGGAATTCGATAAAGTGAACTTACGCACGCATACACAAGCTATAAGTCTGAGAGCTGCCTGTGGCGTTTCTGTGCATGCCGGGAAGGCTGGTTTCAACACATAGTTGGCGAATACCATGGAGAGGACAGCTGCCGAAACAGGCCGTACAACAACCACTTCAATCCAAAGACGAAGAAATCCGAAGAATGGACCGAAAGCCTCATAGACATATGAGTAATCTGCGCCCGATCTGGGCATCATTGTTCCAAGCTCGGCATAGCAGTAGGCACCTATCAGAGAGAACAAGCCGCATGCAATCCATACGACTATACTGGCTCCAAAGCTATTTGTCATCACAAGAATAAACTGTGGACTGACAAAGATTCCAGATCCGATTACCGAACCAACAATGATTGTGATGCTGGTGACCAAACCAATGGACTTCTCCATCCTGGCACCTTCCGGTTTGTGAACTTCAAGTTTAGCACTTTCGTCATCTCCTTGGGTGGATGGAATCACTCTGAGAAACACGTTTGAAAGTGGATCTATACGGAGAAACATACGAATAACTTCCGTGAGCAAGAACATGTAACGAGAGCAAAGTATGACAAAATTATCTGAGCCTGCCAAGATCGCATCAAAACTTGCTGTTGAGCCCAACGGCTGATATGTGCTGCTGACTCTTCACTATGCAACTGCAAATTAGGACGTGATCTTAATCAGCCTATCTTCAACTGAAACCGTTCAATCGACTCAATCTGTATGCCAGCCTTTTTTAGGCACTTTTCGCTGCTTGTAGGGGAAAGTCAAAGAAAGCAGCTTGAAACCAGAATGAATCTAAAAAAACGTTAGCAACATTACAATTGTCAATTGAGCAGGAATTCACGAACTTCACCTACAATACGCTAACGTTATAGCGGTTTATTCAGATGAATTGTTTAATAACTTGAACTGAACGGGCGAAAAAATTCAGATTGTGAGTCCTGCTCAAGCCGAAGCTTCGACAGATACATTGGTCAACGGAAGTAATATTATTAGTACAAGATCGCAATTCGATACTGGTGACACCATGGGAGGTGCCTATTTGCAGTGCAGACTAGAACTCCATGGAATCTCAACCCGTACTGTTACTACTACTCCATTATTACTTTTCAGCCATTGCAGCCCGCTCTGGCAAACACCACTGAAAAAGCGTTTTTATCGGGATGACTCCCAAGAAATCACGATAAAAAACTGAATCCCACGAGGTGCATCAAACACAGTATTTCGGGTCGGAAATGACGCGCATCCACTAAGGGGAAGCCGCTTCAGTGACCTAATATTACAGAGTGGTATCATGTATCGCGTAATGGAATCGGATCGTGAGCACCAACAACTATCTAATAGTGTCTATTCCAGCATTCAGTACATGAATTTTCTCGATAGCGCCAATTGGATAACGACGCACAGAGTACACGACTTGCACCAGAACATCGAAAAGTCTGATCAGCTCAAGACAGTGGTTCTCGCGTGTGCTTTTTCGGCATGTCACTGCGGGTAATGCTGCCTGAGCCGCAGAAAAAAAATTCCAGATGAAACTGAAGCTACTCATAAGTAGCAAATATGAATAGCAGGTTACCCGAAATACAATCCAGAAGGAAAATTAATCGCGGTAGATAAAACTTTTGTCATTTGGATGTAATTACAGTTATTAGAAGTGATCTGACTGTTTTTGTCACCTAATCCTAGAAACCACGGGGCGGTAGCTGACACACTAATCACGAATTTGCGTTCTTCTTTCGCTGTAATCTGTAAATGACATGAGACAGCCGACCCGCAATCATAACAATACAATATATAACAATATAGATCCATAGCTGACGACTTTGAAGAATCTCAAACCAACTTAGAACATGATAGGCTACTGACGTCAGCTAGTTTTAAGTCCTAAATCCCGAGAATGGTAAGTTTACTAACGCGAAAGCCATTCGCAATCCACTAGTGTCACCGTGACTGAAAGCGCACACCTCATTAGAAGGCTAGCCTTTTCTACCATAAGGATCCCACAAACGGTATTGGTTGGCATAGTCCAGTACAATAAATAAGAGGGACTTACCTGCACCAAACTAAACGACAAAACCATCAGTACCATGAATAATAAAAGTAGCAGTATGAAGAAAATGGAACTGATAAGGTTATGTGAAATGGTCTAGCAAAATGAAATCCCGTGGTACGATTGGTTGCTGGGTTATACATTTCAACATTTCTGACGGGATATTCAAGCGACAACATTCCTAGCAGCACACATGGGTAAAACAACCGCCGTTGCATGGTTGATTATATGCCATCGAACTAAGTGGTAACCTCGGTCATTTCGCATTTCAGTGATAACTTAACCGAAATCCATGGTTACTCACGAAATAACCGTCGGATGGTGACTCCACACCTTATTAGCATGATGTAACTTTCGATTTACGAGTAACAGACAGCCGCTCGTAGTGACTTAATCGTCAAAAACCTGTGAAACAACCACTAAATGAGTAGTTCCAGGCGACGATTATGCCCAAATGTGGGTAAGTGACTAGTATTCTGCCACATTCTACCCAACACTCGCGGTGAAATAAGTGTGAACAGTCTACGAAATCGCCATACTGAATGGGTATGATACCAAAGCCTAATCAGGATGTAAGCATCATCTTTTTGTGGTCATCCGTTTGATATTTAGCCACATTCTACTCGCGTTCCGTGGTTACTTAACCATAATGCACTCACAATATACCCATGCGTTGATGGTAAATTCATGGCTATTTGGCCTCTGTCACTACCCACAAAACAACCTGATTTGGGTATTCTGTAATTATTTACTCACAGGCTGTCAACATGGTCCATCCACTATATATCCAGCATTTAGTGTGAATTTTCAGCCTGAATTGTGCGCTGCAATAACCACGAAATAGCCAAGGGTTTGATCAGTTTTTAGTGACTGACAACTCCGTAAGATTTAACGAACGAACTGGTACAAGCTCGGGTGTAGGTTGTTGACATCAGGATTTGCCACGAATAGTTGAGGTCTTTTTGACATGACCTTCTGAGAACACAAAAGCCGCTATTAAACGATGTAAGGCATTGATATATCCGTGCGATACCTCCAATCAAGCGACTAGACTTGTCGCGTTCAGAATTTGCCGCAGTCAGTTGTATTACGGAGGCGAATTTCGACGTTTTTATAGTGGTAACTTTGTACTGGAGGCAGGTTGGTGCCAGGGTTTCAACGTTCCCATAAGGACGGAACTGATATTGATTGGAGGCAATGGCATAGCCAGTTCACTGATCTTATTCTGATAAGGTAAGTGACCGACAAACAGTGGAGGTGATAGTTTTGATCAAAATGTACCCTTAACTATGAGACTAATCCACGTCTGTTAGCATGGTTAACCGTTGATGTGTCGCGTCTCAGAGTTCACATCCAGAGGCACGAATAGTCAACTCGATCGAGTTTACTGGTCAGAGCTTTCATAGTTCGTTGCGTGATGACCTTCCGGTCGACGCCATTTGGCACAAAACTAAGCAAACAGAAATTCGCAAGGCAGGCTGCTTTTTAGAAAGTATTTCACCTGACCAGCGAAACCCGCTGGATGTGAGCAGCTCATATATTACAGTGGAAGTTTTCTTTTTTTAACCATTTTATTCACCCCCGAATTACGGATCAGACGTTCCTACCAGAATGAGATAATGCCATTAATATACCAAGAGTTAAAGGCTAAAAGCTTCCGGGCATTTCGTTCGTGATCCAAAAAGCAGCAGACATTCTGTTCTCATAGAGAAATTGACACTGGTACCTCTGTGTCGACAGCTCACTATATCCTTCCCAACTAGACTAGCGATTTTATTTCATACAACTCCAAATTAAAGGAATTTAACTACTACATCGACTGGTCTTTCCGCAACCATAAATCTTGAATGACCCAATAGTGGGTATGAAACTATTCCCAAACCGAGTAGGTGCATCATTAAAGTTGTATAAAATTGTTTGAATTTCTGAAGCGGACAGTCCAAAAACAGCACAATTGCCCGCGTACTGAGCATTTATGAGCAAACGCCCTGATGACAGAAGAAACAATTTCCAAGAAGTAAGTTGGAAAGAAAATCGAAAAGAATTGTTGAGAGATAACAGCCTTGTCTGGTACCACTGTGCACGATAAACTCAAACGAAAGCTAACCGTAAGCGACCATGGAAGTTTAGGTAATAGGCCCTTAAAATAGACAAGAATTTAGCAACGACACCTCCAATTCCCGGACACTGGTAGTGCCTAGCGATCAAGAGAGGCAAACGCAGCTGTATAGTTGAGAGAAAGGACCATTGCGGATCACTGGAAGAAGCTGCCCTGCTCCATCATCCGTCTCACGGCCCAGATACGATCACGGCATCTTCGACCAATGCGCCATCCAGCTTTGTCTCAGTAATTTATCTCTCCGGCTAATCGATCACCTAATGCAACATACCCACGGTTGCCAGGCGCATACCTAGCTGGTTGTCGTACAGTGATCTGACTCTCCACTCCGGCGATATTCTGTTCCCATTCCAAAAAGTTGCGGTAAGATTGTCAGATCCACTATCTCAGCTTCACTCCAATCCTTGAAGAAAGTGGGGTGCCAACGGTCCGAGCATGGCGCCTTCTTGCACTGAGTGAACCAGGTCTCTCATTGGATTTCCGTTGTGGCCCTGTGTCGACATCTCACTCAGATTCGTAGGGTTCTTCTGCAACTTGTCTTCTGGCGAAACATATGAAATGTATTTCAGTGTTCGTTGAGCCCATTACTGAAAAAGACAACTTCGTGAACGGATTTCTGACCTCTCCTGTTTTTTAGACTGTTTCGCCGAAATCCATCTTCTCCTGGCCAGTCAATCGAATCGATGATATCGGGCAAATTTATTTCCAGTCGCACTTTCCATCCCTTGAGATTTTGATGTTTGCCAGTGCTTCTTGCCATTCTTTGGGATCCTGAATATTCGACATTTGATTGATCTGTGTAGGCAGTCATAGCCGTTAATTGCTTTTTCCGGCATCAATAAGAGATGTTGATCTTCCTGGTATCTGCCGTTCGCTCGGGAGACTCCCCTGAATGATCCCCACCATCACTGTTTTCCGAATTTCTGATGGCTTTCTAACAAGTTCAAATCGATATTGTCGAGTGACAGATATTTTGTAGTTGATAGGTATGTGTGGTCCTGAAGTTAATCGAACGCACTGCCAAACCCGCGTGATCAGAATCAAGTTGAGTATTTCGAAACTAATAACAACATTTTTTAAACTATGGTCGTAACTGACCGCCGCATGACGTAACTGAATCTATGTGTGGTTTGCCATTGTTGGTCACCAAGTCATATGGTGCGAGCACATGTGCCGAAAGTTCGAGTTATTTTTGGCTAATAACTGGACTAGTTGCTCTCCATTGTTCGTACGGTAGAAATCAACTCCAAATCTTCAATGAAACTGTTCTGTTCTCTCAGTTAAGTCAGCCTTCTCACCCATATCACTTACTATATTCACAATATCTGAGCATTTTATTTATGAAAACAATCGTAAAACAGTTAGTTAGAAATTACA